GGGGGTGGGGCGACCCCTCCCCCACCAACCAATCAATCAATCAATCAATCAATCAATCAATCAATCAATCAATCAATCAACCAATCAAAAAGAAAAAAAAAAAAGGAGATCGAATAAAGAAATAAAGAGATCAATTAATCAATCAATCAATCAATCAATCGCGCGGGGGGAGATCCCTTCCTCACCAGTCAATCAATCAATCAATCAAAAAAAAAAAAAAAAAAAAAAAAAAAAAAAAAAAAAAAAAAAAAAAAAAAAAAAACGAGTTTTTTTTTTTCCCATTTTCGTTGGATTTCGCCCATACCCGCCCCACCAAAAGTTGATCTTTTTCAATTTTTTTTTTGTGTGGGGTGGTGGGGCAGGGGATGCGCCGCCAGAATCTTCAAACCCCGTCCCCTACGGCCGCCACGTGTCCGCGAATGCGCGTGTCCGTGCGGACACGTCCGTGGGCTTCGCGGCCTGGCCGCGGCCGCGGACTTGGCCGCGCCTGTCCGCCGTCGGGGGGGATTCACTGGAGGAAAGGGACCTTGCGTGAACTGTCGAACGCGAGAATGGTGAGCGGAGAGGAAGGCRTCGACAGTGGTAAAGATGGGGGTCACGGGGTTGCGCGAGGCAAGGGKGAGGCGGCCGGCGACGTGGGAGGCGGTGTTGCTGCCAGGGAGGAGCGTGGCCAGCCRACGACCCCTGGCATGCRCGGCGCCGTGCCGTCGAAGGACGTGCAKGCGGCCSAGGACRTCGGTAAACACCCGCCAATGCGGGCGCCTTCTAACCCAGCGATGCCCACGGCGGGACAGGCGAGAAGGGATGAAGGGGCGGGGGTGAATGCGGCAGTYAGGGGACAGCTTGCGACGCGCATTCCCGCAAAGGAAACCGCAGCGGTGGGAGCCGTCGTTGGTRCATCGAGGACAGGCGCGGGGGGGGGCGGTGGCGACGGTCGTGATGATGCTGATGACGACAATCCCCTCATTAACAGGCAGAGGCGATCCGGAAACATGGCGGCTCTGGAGGCGAAAGCGAAACTGTGGGTGGACGATCTGCGTTTCTRGAACGAGACGGAGGGGCATGGGATGTTCAAGATCATCCAAGAGACGCGCCTGCACCTCATCGTGATTGCGAAGGGTGTGAAACCGCCGGAGATMAGAAAAAGGGTTATCCTCTCGAGCGCCACGATCCCTCAGCAGAAGCTGGAAGACGTGTCGGAGTTGGGGGCCGCGAAGGAGAGGGCTTCGAGGGTGCAKACCATAGCRTTGCGCATCATCCATGGGTGGATCTTCAAGTCCCCCAATCGCGCGCGCGGGTACCACTGCTCCTACGGCTATGTGCTGAACCACGTCGCCACAGACCTCGCCTACGCTATCTGGTTTGGAGAGGACTGGCGGGTATGTGTGAGTCCGGCGGTCGTCCATAACACTTTGGAGCTTCATATGAAGCTCGCCATCTAGTACGTAGGTGGCGTCATACACGACAGGCACGAGGACGACGAAATGGTGTCGTATCAGGAGTCCACAACGCAGCGTCTGGTGGGAGCTTTCACGAATGTTGTTGAGACGGGGGAGGGGGTAGACGGCGGGCGGATATCGTACGAGAAGCTGCGGAACGAGGCAGACTGCATGCGCCTTTTGCTGTCTGCCGCCATGTGGATCATGCGAATGGCGGGAGATCATCTCCGTTCGCATTATGAGAAGTCCCATCTTGTGGAGCTCATTGCGAAACCGACGCTCATTGCGTGGCTGCATCGCTCGTTCGACGCGCGCCACCATGTTCTGCAGTGTGTCAAATGCAGTAACGGAGAAAATGGGGAAGCCCCCCATGACGTTGGTCGACCCTCCGGTGTACATCCCTGACTTGGTTTCGTGTGGGGTGTCGTTCCACAACGACGCCACGTTGACGTCTCCTGAGCTTGCCAGACCACTAGATTGGGTAGGCACCAGACCTCCGGAGATCGATGATGAAGAGGAGGAGAAGGACGAAGGCGGGGAATCGTGAAGGCAGGCGCTGTGGACGACAACCGGAGGTGACCGCGCACAGCCACCCGCCGGTGCTGCTGATGACGACGATGATGACTTTGATGATGATGATGATGATAACGGTGACGATGATGATGACGGTGATGACAACGATGATGATGAAGGCGATGTTCATGATGATGTTGACGATCGTGATGCTGACGATCGTGATGATGACGGTGACGATGATGATGGTGATGATGAAGATGATGATGATGATGAAGATGATGATGATGATGAAGATGATGATGGTGATGATGAAGATGATGATGATGATGATGATGATGATGATGATGATGATGATGATGATGAAGATGATGATGGTGATGATGATGATGATGATGGTGACGATGTTCATGATGAAGATGATGATGATGATGACGATGATGATGACTAAGGTGGTGATGGTGATGACGACCATGGTGGCGACGACGACGATGTCGTCGATGGTGATGGGGACAGGAGTTGGCATGGCGTGTGAATAGCGGTTGCGCGAGTTTCGTAAACTATCTTCTACCTCCTTTGCGTCGAGTCGTTTCCTGTTTTCAAAGCGGTTGCCGAGTACAGGTGAGAGCTCAGTTTCATAAAGCTGACAGCACGTCTTTTCATTGAAGGGGCCACTCATTGTCGAGTGTGCGGTGTCATTAACGTCCATCATGTCTATGCGCATCATTGATGCTAATTTGATTTCGTGTGCTATGGCGAACGTTCGTTTTATATCGCAGACGTGTTTTCTTATGGTTGTTCTTTCCAATTGCAAAACTTCCATGTGAAGTTATGGTTGTTCTTTCCAATTGCAAAACTTCCATGTGAAGTTGTGGGTGATAAGGTGAATGAATTCTGCGTGAGAGATTGACGTTTTCAATCAGTGACCTTCTTTCTCGTGCACTCATCGTTCAACCATTCACAACACTTTTATGAAGATGAAGACGAATGATTGGCAACAGAAAATATGTACTCCAACATTTGGACCATGGACATATGTGAACTCAAATGAATGCTATCATCAATGGCTTGCACTCATTCACRTCATCACGCACGTAAGTGCGCCATCATCTCGGCACGCAGGGCACATGAAAGGGAGGAAAATASTCCAGGACAAGCAATAAAACTTGGCGAACAGAACACAATAATCATCAAACCCTTGTAAACAAATAAAAAGTACACTGTGCGCAGTACTGCGCTTCGGAAATCGGGGAAAAGGAACCCAGAYGCATGCATGCGTTTGTCGCACACCACAGACCCGAATCCCGTATCCATGCGGTTCACAGACAACAGTAATCGACCGCCACCACCACATCTGCCGCCCTATGGCTTGCGCATAAACTGGGTATAAWGCACTATCAAYGCGTCAATGTGAAAGCACGGATCGAAAGAAAACAAAAAGAAAAAGCGCTCGTCAAYGGGCAGCGAGTTCGGACGCCCACGTTTTGTCTTCGTTGCTAAGGCTGACGTCAACGCYGTGCTGCTGGCTTGCATGGCCATACCTGGGCTTTGCTGGTCAGGCATAGGAGCTGCCACCAAGGTAAAGGCTTGTTCGTTCCTCCGCCTGTCTCAAAGCTTTTCCACTTGTGGATGGTGGGTTTTCTCTTGTTTCTCTCGGACCCTTCCGTCGTGTMGTGGGATGCGGATGCGCCTCCTATCCAGCTGTAGCAGGACTCGCGGCAGTCCTAGMAGTYGTTGTTGCTCTTCTCGTTGCTGTTGTCGTTGTTGTTGTCGTACACAAACTTAGCTTATCAGCCTTCGTCGAGGTCGTCATTCGCACAGAGGTCCTGGTTCTGGCGATGGTGGCGTCAGCAGGGTGGTGGTAGTTGTCGTCGTTGTGTTATGAGTAGCAGTTCCAACAGTCACAGGCAATTGCCAGGACAGATGGACAAATGACCTTTAGACGTAGCACGTGGAGTACACAAACGGACAGGAAGACAGAAGGAGCATGGTTTCCATACTAACTCCTTTTTTTTTTTTTTTTTTTTTTGGTTAACGAACCCCCGGTTTGCTAGGGGTGTCTGCTCCTTCCATACTTATCCTTTCTCGATGATCATTGACTGAAGTTTCGGCGATGGCGATGGTGATGGCGATGTCTCAAAGACTATCTCCATCTCTACGTAACCATGAAGAAAAGTCGATCGGAATTTGGCTCAGGTTGTAATGAAACGGCACTGGTGGCWTGCTGRSRGCCGAAATGGGTGGTGGAAGAGGCCCAAGAGGCGGGTTCGACAAATTGACACGGTTCTGCAGGCGTCACAAATGTCGAAGACGAGTGAAAGAAGCGACGTGTCATGTTGTGTGTGCAGCTGCAGTGCGGCAGGAGTCCAAAGTGGAGAAGAGCGTGGGACAGGTGTAAACTGCTCAATAGCATCCTTTTTTTTTTTTTCATTTTTTTTTTGGGAAAAAGTGCTTCATCTATTGGTGGGGAGCGTCACCTGCTGGAAACCGGGTCCTTTATCTGATTATTATCTAAACGTGTTTTTTGTGTGCATCATGAGTCGAAAGCCGAGATGTAAATTAATGTTGATGCTCGCAAGCAGTTATAATGCTACGTGTGTCCTGTTTGGAGTAATTTTATACGTTTTGAGTCTCCCCTTCTTTTTGTTTGGACACAATTTCTGCATTTACGAGTGCCATCCTTGCACAGGGGCCATGCTAATCTTCTTTCTTTTCCCAAAAAATAAATTAATTAATTACAATATCTTCTTTCTCTGTATCGTTCCAATTTTAGCTCACGATGCCCCCCACCCCTTCCCCCCCGAAGGACCAGCAAAATATGACGCCGAAAGTCATTTTGAGTGCCTGGAGCACTTTTTCTCCCCTTTGCGGGGGATATGAATGCAATACATACGTTGTTTGACTTGCTTCCCTCTTGCAGCACGTGTCCTCAAGGCAGAGAAGTGTGACACGTGTCGACCGCTCGACCTGTCAACATGACCCCTTTATCCCGTCATCTAAGAAAAATTATGGCCTCGCCGTCGCGAATAATTTTCCAGAGGGGGGTTTTGCATGCACTCCTTGTGCTCCTGGTGGGGTGGAAAATCTGGAGATGGGCCATGTTGATTGAACGTGATTCATGTGATCGGGSGTAAATAGTTAAATAACTCTTCAGTACTACCGTAGTAACAAATTCCCGCATGTGTCCTTCGGGACATCCGTTAAAATTATTGGAACGATACAGAGAGAGAATGAAGATTAGCAAATGGCCCCTGCGCTTTCAAGGATGCCATTTTTCGTGGATGCCCCCGCGCTTTCAAGGATGACACRTATAAATCGAGAAATGGTCCAAAGAAAAAAAAAAATCCGGAACGTGTAGTAACCCYTGAGATTTCCCGGGGAAGRGTGAGAGATAAGTCAATCCAGACCGCGTMAATAAGCCGAACGTAAATAAGCACATCATAGCATCACAGATCATGACGAAGAGAAAGAGAGGTCCTTCGGGACAATCCGTTAAAATTGGAACGATACAGAGAAGGGTAGATTAGCATGGCCCCTGCGCAATCAAGGATCACACGCATAAATCGAGAAATGGAAGAGAAAGAGAGACAGGAAGAGAATATGCACACGACAGAAGAAGAGAAACGACAACCCTGAGCCTATCAC